GGAAACATGGAACAGACTGATGAATCTCCAAGGGAAGGGGGCAAGGAGGAGGGAAGGGATGAACCAAACAACTGATAGGCATATATGCATTGTCCATGGACACAGACAAAGGGTGGTAAAGGACTGCAGTGGGGTGGGAACTAGGTGAAGGGGGACAATCGGGGGGAAGGAGGGATATCTGTTAATACTCTCAACAATAAAATTTCAAACACACACACACACATATAAAGTCAGATAAAACTGATCCAATTCGCCTTGGCTCAGCAGATAGAGTGTCGGCCTGCGGACTAAAGGGTCCCGGGTTCAATTCCAGTCAAGGGCACATGCCCAGGTTGCATGTGGGAGGTGGCCAGTCAATGATTCTCTCTCATCATTGATTCATTGATGTTTCTGTCTCTCTCTCTCTCCCTCTCCTTTCCTCTCTGAAATCAATAAAATATATATTTTTTTAAAAACTGATCCAATTCAATGGAACCCTGAAAGGAAACAAGCTATAGAGGCTCTAGGCAATATCACCTCAAGCACCTGCTCTGGGACATCCTAATTATAAACTTCCCTTCTTCCTTTTTCACACATGAAAATAAAGGAAGTGCTTTAGGAGTGCTAACTCAGAAACATGGAAATCATGATAAACCTATAGGATATTATAATCAGCAGCTAGACTCAGTAGCAAAAGGGCTCCCTCCCTGTATGAGGGCCATCTCTGCTATTGCCATGTTATATAAACAAATAGAAGAGAGAATTACGGGCTCTTCTTTAACTATTCACGTTCCTCATTCTGTTGAATATTTACTGAACTCTCATCACACTCAACACTTCTCTGCCAGTTGACTGGCTTCTTAGGAAATACTCCTGCTCCTTGCACCTAATATTACTTAAATTTTGTGTAATCATCTTTTTTTAAAAATATGTTTTATTGATTTTTCACAGAGCGGAAGAGAGAGGGATAGAGAGCCAGAAACATCAATGAGAGAGAAACATCGATCAGCTGCCTCCTGCACACCTCCCACTGGGGACGTGCTCACAACCAAGGCACATGCCCCTGACCAGAATCGAACCTGGGACCCTTCAGTCCACAGGCCAACACTCTATCCACTGAGCCAAACTGGTCAGGGCTTGGTGTAATCATTTTAATCCTGCAATTGTTTCCCTCTTTACAGCATAAAGAGACACCCACAATTGTGTTTTGCTTACTGACCACCTTCTTGTTCCTAAGAATTGTTTACAGGAAACTCCTATCCTATATAATAAAGAGGTAATATGCAAATTGACCATCATGCCCTCATACAAGATGGCCGCCCCCTGTGGTCACAAGATGGCCACTCCCATGTGGTCACAAGATGGCTGCCCCCATGTGGTCACAAGATGGCCATGCCCATGTGGTCACAAGATGGCAGCTCCATGTCATCACAAGATAGCTGCAACAAGATGACCAGCAGAGGAGGGCAGTTGGGAGTGACCAGGCCAGCAGGAGAGGGCAGTTGTGGGGGGCCAGGCCTGCAGGGGAGGGCAGTTAAGGGTGACCAGGCTGGCAGGGGAGGGCAGTTGGGGGTGATTGGGCCAGCAGGGGAGGGCAGTTGGGGGTGATTGGGCAGGCAGGGGTGGGCAGTTGTGGGCAATCAGGCTGGTAGGGGAGGGCAGTTGGGGTTGATCGGGCCAGCAGGGGAGCAGTTAGGCATCGATCAGGCTTGCTGGGGTGTGGTTAGGGGCCGATCAGGCTGGCAGGCAGAAGCAGTTAGGGGCAATCAGGCAGGCAGGCAGGCAGGCGAGCGGTTGGGAGCCAGCAGTCCTGGATTGTGAGAGGGATGTCCGACTGACAGTTTAGGCCCAATGATTAGGCCCAAATTTCGTGCACTGGGCCTCTAGTTAATAATGGTGACTTAACTTGGTTTACAAGTGGATATTATTTGAGAGATGAATAGGGACATTACTGGGCTGGATATGTAATAACTTCCATGGTGGACATAATCAAAAGTTCTTATTTACCTGAAATAAAATCTGCCCAGCAAGCTGAACTAATTACTCTAACTTGGGCTTGTCAATTGGGCAAAGATCAAGTAGCCAATATTTACACTGATAGTCACTATGCATTTGGTGTAACTTATGACTTTGGAATGTTTTAGAAGCAGCAAGGCTTCTTAACTTCCTCAGGGCAGCCCACAAAAAATGGAAAACTGGTTATGGAATTATTAGATGTCATATAGCAACCAAAACAATTGGCAATTATCAAAATTCCAGGCCATTGTAAAGGAAATCATTTTACCAATGCTAGGCAGGCAGCATTGAACAGTCACATTATCCAGACCTCAGAATGTTCTTTGCTTTCTATTAAATCAATAAAATATTATCTTTTATAATTTCAACAGACAACTACAGAAGGAAAAAAGAGAGCATGGCAACAAAAAAGGAGAACCTTTGACTCAGACAGACAGATAGATAGATATATCTTGGACCCAATCAGAAACCTATTGTACCTGTAGGGGCTCAACTCCCTGTACTTCAACATGTACATGAGCTAACACATTGGGGCCCAAAAAGACGATTTCATGGAATAAACAATATTACTGGAAACCTTCCCCTACTATAGCTCATAAAGTGCACAGTAGATTTTTTTATTGTTTTTAATTTTTTTTTTATTGATTTCAGAGGGGAAAGGAGAAGAAGAGAGAGAGACAGAAACATCAATGATGACAGACAATCATTGAGTGGCTGCCTCCTCCATGCCCCACACTGGGGCTGAGCCCTGACTGGGAATCCTACCATGACCCAGGAGTGTGCCCTAACCAGGAATCGAACTGTGACCTCCTAGTTCCCAGGTCAATGCCCAACCACTGAGTCATGCCAGCTGAGCAGCAGATGCTTTATTTGTCAAAAATATAACCCAGGAAAACCACTCCATTGATCCCAAGGACATCTCCCATTTCCTTTAGGTCCATTTAAGGTAGTAATTGAATTTTGTCCAAATGCCACCAGTTCAAGAATACAAATGCATGTTAGTCATGATTTGTACATTTTTCTAACTGGGTTGAGGCATTCCCTTGCAAGAGAGCAACAATCTTAATAGTTGGTAAATTGGCCGAAACCGGTTTGGCTCAGTGGATAGAGCGTCAGCCTGCGGACTGAAAGGTCCCAGGTTCGATTCCGGTCAAGGGCATGTACCTGGGTTGCGGGCACATCCCCAGTGGGGGATGTGCAGGAGGCGGCTGGTCGATGTTTCTCTCTCATCGATGTTTCTGACTCTCTATCTCTCTCCCTTCCTCTCTGTAAAAAATCAATAAAATATATTTAAAAAAATAAATAAATAAAATAAAATAATAGTTGGTAAATTGTTCTTAGAATAAATAATTCCCAGTTAGGGAATTCCCTCTGAGTTACATAGTGGCCGAGGGACTCATTTCACTGGGCAAATAATAACATCTGTTGGTAACATTTGGCCTACTCTACAGTGTTTTCATTGTGCCCATCACCCCCAGTTCTCCAGATTGGTGGAACATATCAATGGTGCAATCAAAATTCAACTGGCCAACATTTCAGACTCCTTTAATCTCCCCTGGACAAGAGCTCTCCTTACAGTGCTCCACAATATGAGATCTACTCCTTTTGGAAAACATAAATTGTCTCCTTATGAAATAGCCATTAGCAGCCCTATGCATCTGGATGAAAGGGCATATGAACCAATTTTGTTAAAAGAAGACATTTTAGCCATGACCAGTTTGGCTCAGTTGGTTGAGCATTGTTCCATGCACTGACAGGTCTCAGGTTCAATTCCTGGTCAGGGCACATGCCCAGGTTTTGGGTTCAGTCCCCAGTCATGCAACAGGTAGCAACCAATTGATGTTTCTCTCGCGCATCCACATTTCTCTTTATCTCTCCCTCTCCCTACCTCTCTCTCAAAAATCAATTTTTTTAAAAAAAGGAGACATTCTACATTATTGTTGATGGTCTATTAACCAGCTTAAATAAATTAATAGATTAGTAACTGATTCATTTCACAGTGCGCTCCTAGGAGATAAAGATTTTAAGGATCATGGCTTACAACCAAGAAATTTGGTCTATTATAAAAGACATCAGCCCAGCGGGCATGGCTGAGTGGTTGAGCATCGACCTATGAACCAGGAGGTCACGGTTCGATTCCTGGTTGGGTCACATGCCTGAGTTTCAGGCTCTTTCTGTGGGGGGAGGGGGGCATGCAGGAGGCAGCTGATTAGTGATTCTCTCTCATCATTGATGTTTCTATCTCTCCCTCTCCCTTCGTCTCTGAAATCAATAAAAAAATATTTTTTTTTTAAAGACATCAAGTAAAAGACTCTCTCCAACCTTGTTGGAAGGAACCTTACCAGGTATTAACAAGTAACCCATGTGCAGCCAAACTCAAAGGAGTTAACTCATGGATTCACATTTCTCATTTGAAAAAGGCACCTAACTATAAATGGACATCCACTCTTGTCTCTGACACTCGCCTCTGTCTACAGTGGAGATCAGACTTTTCAGGGATGAGAAGCCACTAACATGGAAAGCAGACAGCTATCCTGAGACACCAACCAGGCCTCTATGCTCACAAATTAATGCTACTCATGCCTTGTTCTTATATAATCTAATTGTTATTAAGTAAACATAAAATGATTTTTATTTTGTTATTATCCTCCTTATGGTTTCCTAATGTAAACAATATCTGTCTCCCCACGCCCTCTCCCTTATTAGATATGAAAATTTTAATTTGTGTGCCTGCTAGTCTTTCCCACCTACTAGACAATGATATTCTGATTATCAGTTGTGATAATGAAGTTAATGCTTTGTTGGCCACGCATTGGTCTTCTCCTACTATTAATATAAGCTTTAGTACTTTTTTTTCTGGAAATATCTATTAATAGGACCCACTTTGGACAAATACCTCCAAGAACATCTCCCTAATAATTCCCCTGATATAATTATATATGGCTCTTATCTCGATGAGTATTGTATAGCTACAGGAAAGGATGATGAAAAGCTAAGAAAAATACCTGGATATGACGGGAAAAGGCTTGCAGCAACCTGTCCTTATCTGTCATAGTATATCTTGTCCTTAGACTCACCAGCCATGCTCTTTTTCTGAAATCAGAAAAAAAAATCAATGGGTATTCATTTTAGAAATTATCAGTATTACTTGGTGGGTAGATATGTCTGTAACTACCCCACCCTTCTTGCATCCTGGGCACTTGTGGGAAGCCCTATGGAATACTCAAACTCTAGCTCATTTTGGAGTTACCTCTACCCATTTAAATATAGCATGAGAAACTCAACATTTTGGGGTGCATTCCGTATACCTCAACTGCTCCCAAGCCATAGCTACCCAAAGGCAACAACATTCCTGGTAGGTCCAACAATATTGGCTCTCTAAAAGAAATAAAAGAGGAATACTTGGAGGAGTAGGGGCAGGCCTTGATATTCTGGGACAAGCTGAACTGGTAGTTAATTAAAAACATTATTTTTTATTATTTAAATATATTTTTATTGATTTTAGAGAGGAAGGGAGAGAGAGAGAGATAGAAACATCAATGATGAAAAAAAAAAGAGAAACATCAATGATGAGAGAGAATCATTGATTGGCTGCCTCCTGCATGCCCCCCACTGGGGATCAAGCCCGCAACCCAGGCATGTGCCCTTGACTGGAATCGAACCCAGGGCCCTTTAGTCCACAGGCTGATGCTCTATCCACTGAGCCAAACCAGCCAGGGCTAATTAAAAACATTCCTGATTAGAAAAAGACTTCATCTAAAATAGGTCATCTAGAGGGAATGATGTTTCTAGAAGAAGGAAAAGGGTGGGAAGCAGCATGGGAAGACAATAAGGCCTTCGCTCAATGGGTAGAACAGATTCAACAGACTACAAAAACTCATGCACAAACTCAACAATGGGAACATGCCTGTTCCCTAATTCAACAGGGCTTATTGTCTAGCTAAGGCAAATAGGATCAGAAGTAGCTATAAAACAATGGCCAACTATCCTGGATGCAGAAGCCCAGGATAGACATTTATGGACTCATATGGTTCCCTTGGATTTTGGAAATTTTTGGATAGAAAATGTGATCTTCTACTTTGTATCTTAAAACCCAGGCAGTAAACCCTCAATTTTGCGGACCTCGATTTAATGGACTTAGGGTTTAACAGACAAAATTTCATATGTCATATGTGAAAATTAAAACCTTGTTAATTTAAAAATGTTTTTAACCAAGATTTGCTTATAATTAAATTAACAGGTTATTTTGTGTTAATATTTCACTGTTATTTTTAACAAATTTTAGCAAATAGGCCGTATGTTGGAAAAAACACTACAGTAATTTTACTAATATAAATAAATATGACATATCTACAACTATAATCTAACATATTTAAATCCAAGAATCATCTCTCATAAACAATGTTCGGCGAATGATTAGCGAGTGATCACACCGCATCCTGTGTGGTAATCAGTTCTATTGCTTCTTTGTATGAATTTCTGCAGCAGTTTTTGTTATTATTGTTAATCCTCACCTGAGGATATTTTTTCTATTGAGTTTTAGACAGAGTGGAAGAGTGAGAAGGAGGTGGAGGAGGAAAGAGAGAGAGAGAGAGAGAGAGAGAGAGAGAAACATTTATTGATTGGTTCCCTCCCACATGCTCCCTGACCAGGGGCCAGGGATTGAACCAGCAACCCAGGTACATGCCCTTGACCAGGAACTGAACCCTCGACCCTTCAGTGCCCGGGTGTCAGGGGGTGTCGCTCTAACCACTGAGATCACTGGCCAGTGTGTCTGCAGCAGTTTTAATGGCATGCTGGCCTATCTTCCAATGTGTGCTAAGCCAGGCCCCAGCCATGTGCATTTATTTACCCACATAAAAATGGTGATTGCAGCCATTTACTAGGCCTATTCACTATAAATTTAAAATTACAGTAATACATATAGAAAACTTTTCTGTAAAGTTAAACTTTTCATACGTACTTAATTTTAATTACACAATGTGTCTAAATAACTAAAAACAGGTAGATTAACTAATTAGTCAATTTTCTAACATATGCACTTAGAAAACCTACTTTATTATAAAACAGACTTTTGGCTTTAACAGATACCCCACCACCTGAATTAGTCCATTATATGGAGGTTTTACTGTAGTTCAACTGGCTGTCATAGGGACCATTCTCAATAACACTAGAACACTTCCAATGGGAAGGCCAGTGGTGCTCAGTGGCTAGAGTGACACCCTCCCCCCGCCCCACCCCCACCACCTCTGCCCTGGGCACTGGATGGTTGAGAGTTCAGTTCCAGGTCAAGGGCATGTACCTGGGTGCAGGAGTCCTTTGTCTTGAGGCTTTATCTCTCTCTTGCAGACAGGAATCTTATGGGAAGTCTCAAGGAGGGTTTCAGTGGAATATTCATCAGTTTCTAGGTATGCTCCTTCAGGGTCATGGTCTCCACTGATTGCTCAGTGTTAGGGCAGGAGGTCATCAGTCATTGCAGCTGGTCCTGGTGTAGGCCACCATTTCTCTGTTATTCAGAGCTGCATCCCTAAGTCTAAAAGAAAGTCTTGTTTTTAGTTAGGCCTCAATAACAATTAGTTGAAAGAATATTAGCTAACATGCCTTTAACACGTGTGCTATATTCACCTGGCCTTGTTTTAAATTGTGTACACACATGTACCTACTTAATCTTGAAAACTATCCCTATTTTACAAGAGTTAACAGAGGGACAAAGAAGCTAGGCTTCGAACTGTCAATATAAGAAGCATTCAAACCTATGGAGAATTTTTGTGAGTTTATTTAAGCCAAACTCTCAACACTTGCCAGGAAGCAAAAACTCAACGGATTGAGATAATGCTCCAGAGAATGGCAGTTTCACATCTTATTTTATTCATTACAATCAAAAGAGAAGACTTAAGTGGGTTACAGGAAATTCATTTGTGATTAAAGAGGTGGAGAAAGCAAAGCGGGAAACCTCTGGGATTGGATAAAAAGTAAAATGATAGACACCTACTTCTTTTACACAGGTGGTACAGGAGAGTTAACAGTCAACAATGAACATAACAATAAATGAAAAAATTTATGGTCTCTACTCTGGTGCATTGGTTGTGCCCTGAGGATCCAGAAAAGGGGAGTTACCCTGACATTCCAAAGGTATGGTATCCCGGATGCAAAAGATAATAGACAGGCTTAGTTAAGGCCAAATTTGACTTGTGTCAGGAAAGATTCTAGCCTAAGACATGACTACCTGCCATAAACTGCTTTTAGTTTAAAAGTTTTAATTTCAACCATCCTTTGTGGTTACTGTAGGTCTCTGAGTTTGCAAGGCTGCCCCAGAGTTTGTCAGGTTCGCATGTGGCCCCTTTTTGTCCACGGAACTCAGGTAGTCTGGCTTCAACTTGATGTCCCTAACCACTATGCGTACTGCTCAATACATGAATGATTCAACCGATCATGCAGACTGGCCTGGGTTCAAATCCCAGCGCTGCCGCTTGCTAGCTGTGTGGCCTAGGACTTACCTCTCTGAACCTCACACTCTTTATTGTTAGAGGTCAAGCCCCTTCTCCTAGTTCGAGGTGCAGATGTCAGGTGCTGGAGAAAACTGGCTCAAAGACACCGTACAGGCGCGTACAGGCAAACACGGAGGGAGCTGACGGCTTGGAGCGCCTGGGCGCTGGACCCTGATAACACTGAAAAGGGAGGTGGACCTGGGGATAGCAACGGCGAGGGTGTTGGGGGTGAACGCAGGGGGCGGGGTGATCGCCGCCAGGCTCCGGGTGTGGCCTCCTAGAGGCTGCCAAAGTCTCTGGCTTTCAGGTTCCCCCAGTTTGTCCACGCCCTACTCGGGGCCCAAAGCGCTCTCTCCGCTCCCCTGAAAGTGAGAGACTGAAAGGGTGTGTCCCCGACGCCAGGCGGCGACGGCAGTCTGGGAGAAAGAAATCCGGCGGCGGGGAGAGAACCCTGGCGGTAGGCCAGGGTGGGGAGCTCGGTGCCCCGCCTCGCCCCACCTGACTTAGTTGGGAAGGGCGCTGCCCTCCGGCGTGGAGCGTCTGGGAGCTGGAGAAGGAGCCAACCTGCGGAGATGGAGGCGGCCGGCACCTGGGCGCTGCTGCTGCTGGTGGTGCTGCTGCTGCTGCCGCTGGCGCTGCCCGCGATCCGGACCCGAGGTCGCCTGCCCCCCGGGCCCGCGCCGCTGCCGCTGCTGGGGAACCTCCTGCAGCTCCGGCCTGGGGCGCTGTACTTGGGGCTCTTGCGGGTGAGGAGCGGCGGGGTGCCCTGGCGAGGGGCGGGGGCCCAGGGCCAGGAGAGGGAGGGGACTGCGAGGAGAGACACGAAAGTGCCGGGCGGAGAGGTCCTCGGGTGTCCTAGGGAGGAGGCCAGCACGGGGTCCCCGGCAGAGGGGCCGCGGGTGTCTGGGGTGCGGCGGGAGCAGGGATCCAGGACCGGCGTTGTCTGGGGAGAGACGGGGCAGAGCTGGGGAGCAGGCGAGGGGCAGGGAAGCGGGGTCCAGTAGCAGGGGTCCCAGGGCAGAGGAGCCTTCAGCTTCCTGGGGCTGAGCGGGCGCGGGGAGCAAAGCTGGGAGCCGGGAGGGAAGCTGCTAGTGTGATGGTGCTGGGTTTGTCCTCGGGACGGAACAGGTGGGGAGATCCAGGTGAGCTCTCCTGAGGACCCGCAGAGAAGAGGAAGGGGTCTCTGGGGGAAGTGGAGGCAGACGCTGGAGGGTTCCAGGAATCTGTCTGCAGAGAATAGAGGGCTGGAGGTGAGGGGTAGGTGGAGCTGGGAGCTCCTGGGACAGGGAAGGGTAGGAGAGCTAGAAAGAGCGTGAGGCAGTCCCCACCTTTGGGGGTAGGGAGTGGGTGGAAGAAGCCAGAGGTTCCCCATTCCACAGGAATCTGGGCGTCTTCCAGGCATGGCGGCGGGGGGGGGGGGCGGGGGCGGGGGGGGGGCGGGGGCGGGGCGGTGTCCTGGGGAGGGATGGTAGGTGCTCAGCAGTATGTGCTTCAGAATTTGAGGATTTATGGGAGGGGGGTAAGAGATCAGCCTAAGGACTTGTATGCATGCATATAAGCATAACCAATGGACATAAGACACTGAGGGATAGGGGAGGCTAGGGGACTGTCAAGGGCGGGGGAGGAAAAGGACACATATGTAATACCCTTTGTAATACTTTAAGCAATAAAAAAAAAGAAAAAAAATAATAAATAAATATAATTTAAAAAAAAAAGAATTTGAGGATTTAGCAGTGACAGAAAAAGGTGGCTAGGCTGGGCGTGGGGAGAGTTGAGGAGTTATGGGAGCCACAGCTGCAGCTACCCATTTGCTGCCACCCGCCTGAATTGGGAGGGGAGGGGAGGGGAGGGGAGGGGAGGGGAGGGGAGGGGAGGGGAGGGGAGAGGAGGGGAGGGTTCTGGGTTGTCCCCAAGTCAGAAGTTGGGCTCCGCAGGAGGTGAGAGGATAGGCTAGCCAGGGCTGGGGGGACAGTTTGCAGACCTGAGGGGTCGTTTCTAGCAGGTGGCTCATCCAGCGACAGGGGCCATGCTGGAGACTTGGAGACTGAACGAGGCCCCACCCCCTTTTCTCTCCCTGCCCCCAGCTGAGTAAGAAGTATGGACCAGTGTTCACCGTGCACCTGGGACCCTGGCGGCGCGTGGTGGTCCTGGTTGGGCACAAGGCTGTGCAGGAGGCCCTGGGAGGTCAGGCTGAGGAGTTCAGCGGGCGGGGGATGTTGGCAACACTGGACCCGACTTTTGACGGCCATGGTGAGTCATGAGTGGAGCCTGCTTCCGCATGCATGTGACCTTCGTGCAAGGCTCAGTGTTGCTGGGCCTCTGTTTTCTCATCCATAAAATGGAATGATAATAGTGCCTGTACATAGGGTTGCAGTGCGGATTGAATGAGGACTGGGTTTTGCACAAAACCAGCACTTGGTAGTCACCAGGGTGTGGTAGGGTTATGTCTGGGCCAGGTGAAACCTCCAGGGCTGGGAGGGAGGGGCAAACTTTCAAGGCACTGGGCATTAACTGATGTGTAGAAACTATTATCTGTGCTAAGACTGAAAGCCAGAGTTCCGCGCTGCAGTGACTAAACAGCCCGGTCTGGCTCCCCCACAGAGCCTCACCAGTGGGGAGACAGACCTGTCACCAGATAGTGACAGCCTGGAGAGGTCAGGGATGAGGAAGGGGCTGGCAGAGGGGTCAGGGCCAGGATGGGGGAAGCCCTGGGACTCTAGGAATAGGAGGAGGCTCTTGACCCAGCCTGCTTGCTGGGTGTCCAAGGTGTCTTCCTGAAAGGTGGGGTATCTGAGCAGAGACTCACAGAACAAGTGGGAAAGGTGTTCCTGGCGGAGACCAGTTAGCACAAATGCATGGAAGTGCGAAGTATTCACCCATTCAACTGACAAGTTTTCATTATGCCTGGTCCTGCCCTGGGTACTGGGGATACAGAGGTAACTGAGATAGATGTGGTGTCCCGTCTTACAGTGTGGGGGGAGAATGGGAGAATTCTGGGAAGGCTTCTCAGAGGAGATGACATTTGAGTGGAGACGTGAAGGATAAATGGAGTTAGTTCAGGGGGAGCTGAGTGAGCCAGGCAAGGGGGGGAATCCTGCCACTTTTGAGGAAGTGAGAGAAGACAGTGCCATTGTAGTGGGATGAGTAATAAAGCTGACGTTAGCAGTGTCAGGTCATGCAGGGCCTGAGTCCTGCCACCGCGTTTGGCTTCGGGCTTTCTGGAGGAGCAATAGATATTAAGCAGGGAAAGGGTACAGAGTTAGAAAGGTCCCTGATTGCTGTGTGGGAGCCCAGGGAGGGGATTGGGCTGGATCATGGCTGGGGCCTCGGGGTTGGGGGGGTGGGGGGGGGATTTGGAGAGGAATCCAGGACTCCAAACAGGAGTGGGGGGGAGGGGGGTGGCAGGGCTAAGAACAGGGAGGAGGAGAGATGGGGACACAGTGGATGGGTGGGTGTATGGGCCAGTTGGGGACACAGTGGATGGGTGGGTGTATGGGGACCCTGGGAGGAGGCATCCAAGAGGCCATTACAGGCCGGAATTCTACAAGTGGGAGCACTGAGCTCAGAGCAGGGAAGGGTCCATCCAGGGCAGGTCTCTGAGATAAGGGAGGAAAACTGCAACTCCACCCTCTTCCCTCCCTGTTCAACCTCCAGACAACGTGGGGCAGGGGACCACACAGTACTCCGTAAATGCTGGGATGGAAGGAAGGAAGAAGAGGAAGGGAGGATAAAAGTATGGGTGGGTAAAAAGAGGAGTAAAAAGATGGAAGGAAGGAAGGAAGGAAGGAAGGAAGGAAGGAAGGAAGGAAGGAAGGGATCTTCACTCACCTGGTTGATCACAGAACAGGAGCCTGGATAATCCCAGTTACCAACTTCTCAGGAAAATGTCACCCTCTGCCTCAAGGGCAGGTATTTATTAAGCACCTACTGAGTCCTCATCTCTGGACTAGGTAGATGTGGACTCAGGACAGGGCCCGAAGAACCCCCTCTGGGCACTTCGGAAGGAAGGGGTAGTCCTAGGGTATGGAGAGAGAGGCCAGTCGCTCCTTGAGTCTGGCCTTCTGTGCAGGGGTTTTCTTCTCCAATGGGGAGCGGTGGCGGCAGCTGAGGAGGTTTACCATGCTCACTCTGCGGGACCTGGGCATGGGGAAGCGAGAAGGCGAGGAGCTGATCCAGGCTGAGGCCCGGTGTCTGGTGGAGGCCTTCCAGGGAACAGCAGGTGAGCA